ATTGATTATTCTCCGCGAGATTGGTATTGATTGGAGATGTTCCGAATTGCAGACACTTGAAAAATAGTCAGTTTTAGGTAAAAATAGTCTTTTTACCTAACAGCTTGGACAGTTAATTGTTTGTATTATTTTTCGTTCTTCGTCTGCGGAAAAGTAAGGGTAATAGCCCGTATATTCTATCACAAGGACCAGTTGTGTGGAGTTCATTTCAGTTTCTTACGAGGAAATGTGGCTCTTGCCAATCGCGCGTACAGTTCGTTGTGTTGTAGTCGAAAATTCCGTGCTTTCAACACTGCGTATTTGATTGTTTAATGGGTCCCTTCTTGAACAAAATAGTTTCCAATCGTGGAGGTGTTCACAACTGGTGCTATAAAAGTACAAGGAAAAGTCGTCTTCCATCTGTTTGATGGGAGACCTTCATTAAAAGCGTTCCATTGGTGCGTATGCACCGTACACGTGATTATGTAGGGCTTACGTTGTAAGTCCCCTGGTTTGCGTATGCCTGTACCTGCTGGAGCCAAAAATTCCTGTTATAGGTACTGACCTCTGGGAAAGTTTCAGCCAAACAGGAATCCAGTGCCACTTTAAACGCTTTGACACTTGTGCACTTGGCTACCTCTGCAGGTAACTTGTTCCACATAGGTATGACCCTATGTGGAAAGAAGTTAACCCGAATATACAGTCGAGCGTGGTTCTTTTGCGGCTTGAGGCTGTGGCTTCTCCTGCATTGGATAAGGGCTAGGGTAAACAGATCACTTAGTATGACTCCTGACAGGGCTTTTACTATTTTGAGTCTCGATCAGGGCATTCCACAATCTTCTGCATTCAAGTGCAATGATTTGACTTCCGAATAGATCAATGCGCAAGGCGTAGCCAAGATCGGATCCCAAAACATTAATTAAACGAAGGATCCAGCAAGTGTCTGCGATGCTGCATCAACGAACGATCAAATGAGCGAACAAAATGTGTAACAAGCTCAAAGTGATCTCGAAACAAACGTGAAAACCAGAGTCAAGTGTCACTGTGCTCGTAATTCACCATGATCATCGTCACGCTGCACTCGAACGAGTCAAATGTGAGCAGTCAGGTCGCCATTAAAACAAATATGGTACGAATGAAGCAGAAAAACAAACAAAGCAATAGGGAGATTGATGTGTAAATATACAAAGGATGTGGAACGTCAAATGTCTATGTGGTTCATCTGGGTTTTACAGGAAGGATTTTCACAGATCAATTAATGCAGCCCGCAGATTATCCATTCGAAAATCGTCGGAACGGCCTCCTATCCATTGGTCTAAAAATAAATGCGCCTTGGGTAAGTCACCGCCAATTTATTTGTCTATTCGAGTGTCTAGCAATTAGTTGAACGGCGGATTGTGGAGGTGAAGCCAGCAGCGCACTAAAAGCCTGATGCATTCTTAGGCCTTCATAAGTAAGTTTGAGATGGTAATTGCATGATGAACCTCAGTGACTTCCTACCTAGGTGTAGTGGACAGCTTCAGACTCAGTTGGAAAGCTTGAACTGCGTGCGCGCCACTAAACCGTACTAATCACAAATGAGGTATTTTGTCCTCCAAATTCATGCTTGGTGGTATCCGTTTTCTAGAAATGGTACGGCTTGGACCGGACCACAGGGAGTTTATACTTGGATGAGTTCTATTATCAAGCGGACCGGCCTACTTGATACCTGTCACACAGTGCAAACGACTTTTGGTGCATATCCCATGGTATTCTCGTGAGTTACATCGCCCCGGTCATTATCTGCTGGCTCTAACCTTTCATTGTTTTGTAGTAAGGGGTACTGACAATTTTCTCGACTGCATTTGGTTCTGTTTCGGCATAAGGCTGCTCGGTGGGTGTCGCTTAAGCATGCGAGGTAAAACCCTATCTTCTTAGCTACTTCCCAAAGATTCGTAACCTTCATCTCGAAAACTGTGGACAGGCTAAAAGCTTGTGAAGACCGGAACACAGCTTGCACTTAATCACCTTGGTTCATATGAGATTAGGTTGGTGCTCGCCCAATTGTGTGAAGGGTGAAGACCCTAGGATTCAGAGGGCCTAAAGGTTGTTAGTGACCTTGTAGTTCTGGTGCTTTCTCTCACCACCTGACCGAATCTACCGTTTCTGATTGCGAGAAAGGGAGTATATGAATTCAGTGGGTTCGTCCAATGTTGCTTCCTTGTTCCTTTTTTCAATCCTATATGTTTCGGTCACCCACGTTGTCTGAAGTTTGGCAGACTAGCATCTGATTATCGATTCCAGTGTGTGTAGTGCGTCCATGTCTAAGCGAAACTCGAGGAGTTTGAGGGCAACGCCGCAGTTTTGCATCTTCATTACCAAATTTGACAGAGACCTGGTGTCGCGTCGTGTGCATCTCGCTTTTGCAAGCACCCCATAAATCATGTTGCTTGCTACTCGGAATGGCTGACCAAACATCTCTTCAGTATTTTCCTTGCCCTTGGGTAGCCCACCTCCGAGTTGAGCATTGAGCACCCACGTATGGCTTCTTTGGTCTTCTCACGATAATAGTACAGCAAGGGGAGGGACCTTTGCTCTGCATCGGTGGTAATGCATTCGACGATGTTTTCGTATTGGCGAATAAACTGGCAGTACTGCTCGGGATTGCCGTTAAATTCTGTCAGTTCGAATCTTGGCAAACCAACGTTTACGTGGACCTGTTTGTTGTTTCGTGACAGATTCTCTATTCAGTTTCGGTATCGTGGACAACCCAGGTTTGAGGTGTTTCTGCACTGTAATGATCGGTCTTTTCACGCTTTGCTTGTTCTGTCTGCTGTCTAGCCAATCCCAACTCATGCTCCAGATCAGAAACTCGCAATCTAAACATATCAATATCCTTAACATCTGAATCAATACATGAAACAGCACTAATAGAACTAGCAGACAATATTTTCTAAAGAATCAAAGTGACCCTTAGACCCCAGAGACTTGCCGGGTTAATTCTCGTTCCAGGTCCCTTGTTTCCTGGTCAGGCAGCTTTGAAATATTTTTTCGTTTGATTCCAATTTGAATATTGCACGTCAACCAACTCGCAATTGAGTGACGCGTAGTCAAAACAGATACGAATTTCAAAACAAAAACATGATTAATTCGTAGTTTTCTACGGTACCAGGTTAGGAATATCAGCATAAAATGTACCACGAAGCAAACCACAAATATACGGCCAAAAGCACTCAAGCAATCATAAACCAAACAGGATGTCTTGCGAGAGGCAAGATCATGCTCTTTATTCACTCCAAATTGAAATGTGGTAGGGATGGAGTCAACAGATAAACAATTATGTGTTACCAAATGATGAAAGATTCCAAATTTTAAACCACGCGCCATCTCAAGGTCAGTTCAGGACAGTCCAATTCAGTTCAGTTTTCACAGAACAGAAAATGGCCACGGCCAATCAAGCGTTCAGAAATCCTTCGGTGGTATGCGATAAAGAATGGCACCCACCACTGCGAAAAGTAGTTCGTAACTTCCTTGCTGAAATAGAGTAGAAACGGGAACGATATCTCCTCTCACCTCCGGGACGAGAGATTTTCATTTGTGAGCTTTCATCTACCGGCTAGATCCCAATAAATGACAGGACGAAACAGACAAGTACAACCTCAGTGTCCCTCTCCTACCCCCGGTTTTCTTAAGCCGCTAGATGCATGGTCAGGCGTCTACTTCAGGAAAAAGTTGAGACCACCGTTCGTCCAGCGCCGTCTTGAATGCTAGCACCGTCTGTAGTACTACCAGCTCCACAGGTAGTCTGTCCCATATTTTGACTACCCTGTTGCTAATGAAGAGTGTCCGGGCGATCAATCTAGACCAAGGCTTGGCTAACTTCATTTTTGTCCGCTTGTACGGGAATCTAGAGCTTCCTGAAACAAGGTCTCTGGTCTAATACCAGATAATCATTTCGTTATCTTAAAAGTTTTTATCATATCCCCACTGAGTTTTCTCTTTTCTAAAGAGAATAACCATGGTCCTGAAGTCTTTGCTTATAGTACCTCGGGTTTACGGCACGTCAATGCTGACCTTCGCCTATATAATTCACCCTAACTTTCTGTGCAACGCTGATTGCTGATATAATTACGGGGCCGATTTGAAGCCATTTTAGGGTGTCACTAGCTGAAGGAAGCTTACCGTCCGATTGAAGAACGGCTTCGGTAGTAGCTATACACAAGAGCGGTTAGAAGACAGATGTAAAGAACTATCGAACTGTTAGGCTAACTAGCGTGCAATGCAAGGTACTAGAAAAGATATTTAGAACGCACCTAGTGAAACATCTAGAGTGGAGCACACTCATGACAGAGTCACAGTATGGATTCGTTAAGCAACGTTCATGCCTAACAAACCTGTTTTGCTTTTTGGAGGATGTTACTGCAAAGATAGATGAGGGTAAGACCGTAGAGGTTTGCTACCTGGACTTCAACAAGGCTATTCATTCAATGAATCATCGCGTGTTGTTGACCAAATTAGAACGATTTGGAATCCAAGGACAGTTGCACAGGTGGATAAGTGCGTTTCTCTCACAACGACCATTCTATGTGACAGCTGGTAAGAAAAGGCCAACACCAGTTCAGCTGACTAGCAAAGCTCCACAAGGCTCAGTACAAGGACCGCTTTTATTTTTTCTCTACGTGGACGACTTTCCAAGCACTTTGACATCATCATGCTACATTTTTGCAGATGACGTCAAAGTGATTGGTTTGAATGGGAGAAGTGATCTGAAGCGGGATTTGGAGCAAGTAGATAGATGGGCAAAGGAATGGGATCTCAGTCCTAACGCAACGAAGAGTCATGTGCTCACAGGGGCATTTGAAAGACTGGAAGTTCACTCGGAACAGTACCAGTTCGCTATCGGACCCGCTACTAGGGTTAAGGATTTGGGAGTAGTGCTATTGAGTGCTATCACCCTTATTTAAGAACGATGCTTCCTGTTTAGAGAAAGTTCAGAGATTGGCCGCCAGAATGGTTGAATGCCAAAGAGGGAGAACATATGAGGAAAGACTAGAGGCTCAGGGCTTTTCTCATTAGAAAGAAGGAGACTGTGAGTGGACCTGATAGAAACCTTCAAAATAATGATGGGAATATCGGGGATAGGAGCGGACAGTCTCTTCACATTAGCTCCCCAACACAACACTAGGGAGCATGAGTTCAAGCTCATGAAGCAGAGGTGTCAAATATACATGCGGAAGCACTTTTTCAGCAATAGGATATTAGATAGAACCGGCTTCCCAAGGAAATAATCGACCTTAAAACAGTGCATGCCTTTAAGACTGCACCTGATAAGCGATGAATGGAACTATTCCCTTTTCTGGCAGTACAGACGAGTGTAGGTGTGCCGAATGTTTAGGATGCCATTTTTCACTGGTGCACGTAATGGAACGCTCGCATCTAACAATTCACTCACCAACTTGGTGAGACGAGATCCTATTTATCATTCTTATTTCAGCAGTGAGCCGGTGAGTTGGCGTCAGGATCCAATTTTTGAGCGCTCCATCTGATAATTCGTTTTTATTTCTTATAGCGGTTAATTTCAAAATAACACACCACTTTATCTACTATTAATCCTTTTTTCTGACAAACTGGAGACTGAGTTGGAGGAGGTGAAGACACTGCTTATAAGCCTCTCTCCACAAATCGAATCCAGTAAAATGACCGTCACGGTATCATACAAAATTATCTTAGACACTGCTAATAAGCTGTCTGAGATAGAAGCATGGAGTAAACGCATGGTAATCTGGGGGACGTTTCCAGTAGAAACACCCCCAGCTCATACGGTCGAGAAAATTCTGGATAATTTGAAATCACTGGAGATCCTGAATCCAATCAGACGTTTATTTCTTCGAAAAAAAAACCAAGAAAACGATCACAGGTATTGTGGTCCAGTTCAGCCAGGGCGCAACAGTGTGAAAGTGTCTTGCTCAGACGAATATAATCAAGAGATTTAAATTTCGCAGGTGTAGCCCGCGACATTCCTCTCCATGTCAGAAAATTTGACAAAAAACCTGGTGGCGAAAAAATAGCTGAGAAGCTGCAAATACGTAACGCAGTCAATCTCACGCGTCTGAATAATGAGAAGTTACCTCAAATCTCCTATCCCACAAAGGGAAAGAATCTCTCCTTCGCCCCACTAGTCGGCAGTACTCCCGACGCCAGCTTCACCGACATAACCTCGGATGAACCAACCGCAGTCGGGATCCTCAACCGCAAGTTAATATCACCTATTAAACCATCCCACGCACCAGAAAAGGAGGTCAAAGGCCCAGTCAAGTAGCTCATCATTCGATTACCGGCTACGATGAAGAGGCTACTAGATAATGCACCAGCCAAGGAAATCACCTCAGCTCCTACCCCGGCCCAACCTAATTCTTATTTCTCCAAAACTAGAAACCAAAGAACCAATTATTCTGCGCTAAAACTCGAAACGTTGGCAGGTGTCGTCAAGTTGCTCCCAGAGAGAACGCTATGACAGGACTGTAAGAAAAATAAGACACGTCAGCCCCCTTTTCTGTCCTCAGCAAACCGCTCTCGCCCACCAGACAGAGTGAAACCCTCAAGTACTGGCAAGTTAATCACATCAGGACGCGACATGGATGCTAAACACATGGCACCACACTCCAAGATGCTCTAGCAGGAGCCACAACCCCGTCGGAGTTAAAAGATCGAAACTCCACCATTCCAAAACTCTCCCACGACCCCTACCATCCTACAAGACCTACTGAAATACATAGTGAGCAGGTGCTCAAGTGCGTATCAACCAAGTGCCTCAGTGTAACTAATAAAATCCTTGAACTGCGGTGATTGGCGCGCGGTAAGAAGCCACACGTATTAGCCCTAACTGAGACGTGGCTCAGTCAAGAGATACTAGATGGCGAAATAATGATAGATAGTTTCAACTTGTTCGGACAGGACTCAAATTGTGGCCATGCGGTTGAAGTGCCTCTCTTCCTTAACGATTCCCCACTACCCGCTTTGCGTGTTTCCCTTCCCACTTTCCAATCGATTGAGACCCTATGGGTCAACATCGTCTTCCCAAGCAGGGACTCATCCTGAGGGTTGTTTATCGCTCCCAATGAACCACACAGGAGGAATGTCAATCTCTTCTAACTCAGCTTCGTGACCTCTGTCCCAACTGCACTTTCCCACACCTTATCCTGGGCAACTTCAATGCCCCGAACATTGACTGGCCCAGATGCCACTCCAGAGATAGAATGTTTGGTGAAGCCCTTATAAACCTCTTTAACAAACGCTCGTGGTACCAACACGTAGTATCTCCCACGAGATACCGTGTCGGCCAACGTCCCTCTCTGCTTGATCTTGCGATTACCAAAGAAAGACGCCAGATTGAAATGATCTCGTATCTAAGTCTTGTTGGTAAAAGTGATTCCCTCCTGCTTTTCTTTGGCTATATTATCCGCTGGCCAACATCTTAGCCTTCTTCCAGAATGCTACGTTCCTTCAAATGAGCCAATTTCTTTCTCTTAAGAGAATTCCTGACCAACAGGCTGTGCTCCTGCAATATTGATACTGACCCGAACGATCTAAATGAATTGTTCGAGAGTCTAATTCTGGAAGCGGACCACTGGGTTATTCCTAGAGTTCAAGCCGTATCTGACCATGGACCTCTTCTACCCCGCTCCATTTGGCACCTAATGGATGATCGGGCGCGTGCATTTGCTAGATTAAAATTTACTGGGCTCAACACTGATGCTGTCGAGTTCTCGCGAATCCGCAAATTATGTAAACAGAGAGTTAAAGAAATCCTTGATAGACCACAGGAAGCAATTCTTCGCGCCACAAGTAACCGTATTTCTTTATTCGATTCACTCAAAAGGGAACGAAGCGACACGGCACTAGCCCTCAAGTTACCTGATGGCACCCCTGTAACCTTCTCTGCTCATGTATCTGAGATCTTTCAGTCTCATTATGACTCCGCCTTTAACTATCCTCCTGTCTCCTCCCGCCCCAAACTTCAAAGATTTAACACCCCGAAACATTTAGACCATTCCATCATTCTTCCAGCAGAGATCCGATCACTGCTTAACTCCTTGAATCCCTTCATTTTAATGGGACCAGACGGAATAAATCCTCGAGTGTAAGACTGAATTCTCCTCCTGGTCTGATAGGGTGTTTGTACACTGCTGACTTAACCGGAGACAGTTGCCTC